GTGGACAAACAGCAAACAGAGGCTGAGCTCAAGGTGACTGACAACAACTACCAGTTCAACTGGACACCACATCTACTGACAACAACTACCTGTTCAACTGGACACCACATGTACTGACAACAACTACCTGTTCAACTGGACACCACATGTACTGACAACAACTACCTGTTCAACTGGACACCACATGTACTGACAACAACTACCTGTTCAACTGGACACCACATGTACTGACAACAACTACCTGTTCAACTGGACACCACATGTACAGTCAGAGCTGGTTGTTCAGGCAGAGTTTTACTTGGAGGGCCCTTTAGAGTTAAGATCCTGTCCCACTCCACCACAACTCTTAACAACAGGTTCAAGCTTTATGATCAGGCAGCATGATGAAAACTGCCTGACTCTCATTTGTTCATTTTAATAAATGTTTTATTCATTATGACTTTTGTCAGATTCTAGTTATGTCTGTGACCGTTGTGTGTTTTTCTCTCATTAAACGAGGGGTACCAACAGTCTGGTCCACGTGTGTACTGGAACTGTGTTTTAAACCCTGCTGTTCCCAGGGGGAGATCCAGGCTCGACTGGAGCTGGAGCAGAAGCTGAAGCAGGCTGAGGAGGCTCTGGTGGACCTGGAGAAAGGTCTGAACTCACTGGAAAGAACCAAAGAGGGAGATGAGAAGATGAAGGGAGACGTGACACAGCTAAAGAGTGAGTCACTGAAACCACATGTTTGTATTTGTAGTTGGAGATCCTTCATGAACCACCTCACCAGTTTTTTTTTTGCCAATGGTTACATTAGAAACAAAAGTTTTCCTTCCTGTGGTTCATGATATGTTCTGCTAAAATCAACAGGATTGATGTTAACAGTTAAAGCTAAAGTTTTAAGTAAAGATGTGTAATATGTAGTAATTAGAGTACGTGTTGGTAGTGATCATTGATTGGGCGTGGCTAGCGCGTTGCTAGCTACATTAACGTGCACACACTGTTGTGTATTGAGGAGCCTCAACAACATGAATGGAGGTCAATGGACTGAGGTGTCATCCTGATGAAAAACTCTTATAACTTCCTTATTTCTTGCTCCATTTTTACAAACTGTGGTTCAAAATAAAGCTGAGGAAATTGTGAATTTTATAATTATGGAAATTTAAAATAGATAACTAATTTAAATGACTAAAACAGTGGCWTAAAGGGGACCTATAATGCAAAATTCACTTTTTAAAGGTTTTTTTACTCAACTTTGGGTATGTACTTCTTAAAAAACAGTCCTAGGATAAAAAATGCATCCAGGGGCATATTTACTGTAAGTAAATGTATTTTTAATGTATATTAACGACAAGTTTTATACTTCCTACATTTTGTGATGTCACAAGTCGTACGACAACCCACCAGAACCTGCGTTAAGCCCCTTACCTAGCAACCCCCGGGTGAGACTCCACCTCCAGTATAAAAAGCCGTCACCATGTTGTTCTGCAATACGCAGCTCAATTCATAACAAGCCTACAACAGGGCAATGGGTAGAGTGTTGGACCAAAAAGCAGGAGATCAGAGTTCGAGACCGACACGGATACAATTTAATTA